AAATTACAAATTAGACGTACAGTTGAAGTCGGAGGTTTACATACACCTTAGCCAAATACATTTAAACGCAGTTTTTCACAATTCCTGACATTTAATCCTAATAAAAATTCCCTGTCTTAGGTCAGTTAGGATCACCACTTTATTTTAAGAATGTGAAATGTCAGATTAATAGTAGAGAGAATGGTTTATTTCAGCTTTTATTTATTTCATCACATTCCCAGTGGGTCAGAAGTTTACATACACTCAATTAGTATTTGGTAGCATTGCCTTTAAATTGTTTAACTTGGGTCAAATGTTTCTGGTAGCCTTCCACAAGCTTCCCACAATAAGTTGGGGGAATTTTGGCCCATTCCTCCTGACATAGCTGGTGTAACTGAGTCAGGTTTGTAGGCCTCCTTGCTCGCACACACTTTTTCAGTTCTGCCCACAAATTTTCTATAGGATTGAGGTCAGGGCTTTGTGATGGCCACTCCAATACCTTGACTTTGTTGTCCTTAAGCCATTTTGCCACAGCTTTGGAAGTATGCTTGGGGTCATTGTCCATTTGGAAGACCATTTGCGACCAAGCTTTAACTTCGTGACTGATGTCTTGAGATGTTGCTTCAATATATCCACATCATTTTCCTTCCTCATGATGCCATCTATATTATGAAGTGCACGAGTCCCTCCTGCAGCAAAGCACCCCCACAGCATGATGCTGCCACCCCCATGCTTCACGGTTGGGATGGTGTTCTTCAGCTTGCAATCAACCCCCTTTTTCCTCCAAACATAACAATGGTCATTATGGCCAAACAGTTCTATTTTTGTTTCATCAGACCAGAGGACATTTCTCCAAAAAGTACGATCTTTGTCCCCATGTGCAGTTGCAAACCGTAGTCTGGCTTTTTTATGGTGGTTTTGGAGCAGTGGCTTCTTCCTTGCTGAGCTGCCTTTCAGGTTACGTCAATATAGGACTCGTTTTACTGTGGATATAGATAGTTTTGTACCTGTTTCCTCCAGCATCTTCACAAGGTCCTTTGCTGTTGTTCTGGGATTGATTTGCACTTTTCGCACCAAAGTACATTCATCTCTTAGGAGACTAGTTCTGCCATGATATCATTTTCTGTTTAAAGGCACAGTCAACGTAGTGTATGTAAACTTCTGACCCACTGGAGTTGTGATACAGTGAATTATAAGTGAAATAATCTGTCTGTAAACAATTGTTGGAAATATTACTTGTGTCATGCACAAAGTAGATGTCCTAACCGACTTGCTAAAACTATAGTTTGTTAACAAGAAATGTGTGGAGTGGTTGAAAAACTAGTTTTAATGACTCCAACCTAAGTGTATGTAAACTTCCGACTTCAACTGTATGTGACTGACCGGCTTGATTCAGTCTTATGTAGCAAAATGTGAAATGTTTTTTTTTTTACAGTGGATAAAAGTAGAGACTCAGAGGTAAAAAATGTTATATCATACACTACAGTTGAGGAACAATGGGAAAATAATTATGCTTTGAATGTTGATAAAATTATGCTTTGAATGTTGTGAACCTTAAATATGTTGTAAACCTACTGGAGAGCTCTTCTTCGTCTACACCCATTCAGCATCGTTCACACCCTCTTAAGCCGTAGCCCCACCCATCTCTTTAAGGATTCACATGTGAGGACATGTACTAAACAACCAAAGATTTCAAGACTAAAGTCTGGTTTATACTAAGGGTGTGTTCGTAAATTCAACATGGAGTGCCAGAGTGCACTCTGGGCATTGGTAAATTTATAGTGTTGTCAGATTGTCCGTTCATAAATTCAGAGCATTTTGCTCTCCGAGCAGTCAGAGCGCACACTAGACGTCATTTTCTGTTTAAATGCACAGTCAACTTAGTGAATGTAAACTTCAGACCCACTGGAATTGTGATACAGTGAATTAAAAGTGAAATCATCTGTCTGTAAACAATTGTTGGATAAATTACTTGTGTCATGCACAATGTAGATGTCCTAACCAACTTGCCAAAACTATAGTTTGGTAACAAGAAATCTGTGGAGTGGATGAAAAATGAGTTTTAATGACTCCAACCTAAGTGTATGTAAACTTCCGACTTCAACTGTACTATGCTGTTTGTTACTTAGATCATTGTCTATTGTTAAATGCTAGTGTTTTTTCTACTGATACAATATGTCTTTGTGTAACTTAGTCATGCGGCCAAGGGCCGTTTGCGGGTGATCACAGTAAGTGATACATCCTGTTCTTTTGGTATCTGCCAAGGACACAGCTGTGTGGAGATATGCAAGAGAACAGAAGCTAGCTTGAGCAGCAGCATCTAAATATCAGCAGAAAAGAGTAACAAAACTGCCGGTTATCACTTGTCTGCACTCTGCCTCCACCCATGTCTTCACACATCTGCTAACTGCCAAGTAGATGAAGAGCTTGTACTTTTCTATAAAAGCTGAAACCCAACTCTGTTCGTTGGGCTCTTAACTCGGCACCATTGAGTGATTGTTAACCGCTACAGATTTGCAAATCTTATAATAAAGTTGTTGTTTGAAGAATATACAGTCTCTCTTCCTTTTGGTTAGAATTTCCATGACAATTCTTGGGATGGCTAACTCTTCTTGCTGATCGTTCCCGGGGACACCAAGGTTAAATGTGCACAGGAGCTACGTTAGACGTGGCTCAGGGAGCCCACACTCCGATTGAGAGGAGCATAGGGGACCTGCCTCGGACCCGTCAGTGGACGGATACGCCATCCCGAACATACAGAGTTAAGGGTGAGACTGATTTTCTTAAACAATTGGGGAAAGTTCTGGGAAATCCTGTTCTGGGAACAAGTCACGTGTGTTAGAGATACCAGGACAGAGTCCTGTTGAAAGCGATTCCAGGATAAGATCCTGAGGTACTATAAAGATACCAGGACAGGGTCCTGATGAAAGTGGTCCAGGACAAGGTACTGAGGTAATATGCCATGGGTTACGATCGTAAGATGTAAATGCATGAGCTATGTAATTCCAGGACAGGGTCCTAAGGTAAAAGTAAGAAAATATTCCTGCACATTGAAAATATGTTGTATAAAATAATGTATTATTCAGTGGACCGGTAAAACAGTTGGTTATAATTGGGATTTGACTGGCCACTTGTACAAAATTATATGACAATATGTGTAGGATCATCTACTATATGGGTACAAAATCCAAAATTACATAAAGGAGTTAAACGATATTTTACAGAAAATGAAAAAACTCTTTGAATTATAAGAAAGGAAGACGTTCCTAACCAAATACTGTTTATTTTGTGTTTGTCTCTGAGTGTGTGTGTATAGACAGAGTTTCACAATGGGAGCCAAGAGCAGAAAGTTAGAACCTTGTCTGCCCGACCCACTGACCGGACCACTGAAGGTAATGGCAGAAAAGTGGGGCAGGGACATTCTGGAACAGATACAGCTCTGGCACAAGGTAGCAGGTTTTCCCTTAAAAAGGCACTTTGATTAAGGCTTTATTAGCAGAATGTAGGAAGAAGTTTGAGAAGTTTGAGGAAACCAAGAAAGGAAAGACATGTTAAATAGATTGGGGTAAGTTTAGAGAGTGGGAGAGAGAAGCCGAAAGAAAGTCAGACAAGAAAATGTAAGAAATAATGGTGAAAGAAAGTAAGAAGGAGGAACAGACGGAGGATGATAAGAAAAGAAGGAGAAACTTTCCACCTCCCTATTATACCCCTGTACCCAATGCACCAGCACCCGCCCTGGTTGTCCAACAGCAGGACACTCAGCCACCTCCCCAGCCAAGACTCTACCCCCAGCAGGACCAACAGACCCATCAGAGGCAGCCTCAGAGCAGTAGGAACCCGTTCTACACACCGCCTACAATGACTTCCGTTTCACTGGACGGATGATGGACCCTATCAGGCCCAACTGGCTGCACTGTGTGATTGAATAAAGGAACATTACCCGCCCATGACTGATTGGGCAGCCATCCACAGTTACACACAGAAAACCAAAGAGTCACTGGAGGACTAGAGGCATACATTGGAGAACTGTTTCCGCAAACGCAGTGGCATCAGACCAGCAACAGACGGTCATTGAACACTGTAAACACACTGAGAGGCAGCAACTGTCTCAAGAAGATAAGACGAAACAGAGAATGGAAAAGGAGGGTGTGAAACTACAAGCAGCACAGCTGGCCTTCTATCAAGGACAGGGCCAGCAGCGGCAGGCTCAGGGAGGACCTCAAAATGGTGGACAGAGAGGAAAAGGAAGGGGTAGAGGAAGAGGATGAAGAGGAAGAGGAAGAGGAGGCAGAGGAGACAGCGCTGACGGATGGTCCGGACAACAGCAACCACATGGTAGGAACTTTGCCTGCTATAACTGCGTAAAGGTGAGACATTTTGCCAGAACATGTCGAAACAAACCTACCGAACAGGGGGCAGCAGGGGGACGTTGGAAAACCGGACCACAGCTGAAAATGACCCTTTACAACCCACATAGGACTGACGTGAGGTAGAGACAGTTCACCCCCTTGGACTGCATTTAAGGATTTTTTCAAGCCCCCGTGAAGAACCAATGATTAGTCTCCTCGTCAATGGTGAGTCCATTGAATTTCTAGTTGATACTGGCGCTGCAATGTCTGTCATAAATTCTAAAACCATGTCTGACACTCATGTCAAATGAATCAGTCAGCACCATGGGGGCCTCGGGAGTATCTATGAAAGAGTTGCTCACAATGCCCCTGCCGGTTAAAATTGAAAATAAGTGTTTGACACACAAATGTATTGCCTCCACATGTTGCCCTGTCAATTTGGCGGGAAGAGATCTTCTCTGCAAATTGGGATTTAGCATCCCATGCAAAGACAAGAGCCTCAGTGTTGTATGGTCCCAGGAGAAATGTAATCTCATGATGCTGTCCGACCCAGTCTCAACATGTGATTGGTACTATGCATGGGACGTACAGGATATTGATGGGTCACATTATGACCCTATTTATGACATTTTCTCAACTGCTTGCAGTTGTTGAAAACAGAAAGGCAGTTTTATGCCACAGACTGACTTACATTGCACCGCCCATTTCTCACCATTGAAGAGATATTTTCACTTTGAACAAAATTGGCTAAAAGGTACCACACCCCAAGAAAGCCTACTGTGCAATGATATGTATAGTGGGCCCCAATTATGCGCCCTCAGTGTAACGATAACCAAGGAACAGGCTCTATTTGACCTCTTCAGTGATAGGGTACCACATGTTTCGATAGCTAAGACAGATGATGTTATCTGGGAGGATTCTGGTGCCTGGTTGAAATCTGTCTTGCAGGTCACTGACTGGGAAATTAAAGCAGATGGGTCTAAATTCTCCCCCAGCACACATACCCTGTGTGTTCCCTATATCTGGGCTGCACCTGTTCAACGAGGCGTGCATGGCTTAGATTGTGCAAAACAAACTAAACAGATGGTTTCTGTGGAGACTGAGTCACCCTTGTTGGCTGGTCTCCCGGACTCTCTGTGGGCTAAAGATAAGTATGACATTGGGCGAATGAGTGGGGTTGAGCCACTTACTGTCACACCTAAGAGCACACACAGACCAAGCAGAGCTCAGTATCCCCTAAATCAGGAAGCTGTGGGGGGGATTACCCCTGTTCATGCTTCATTGGTAGAAAGAGGAGCAATTGTGCCTTGTCCAGACTCTCCCTGCAACACCCCCAATTCTTCCTGTCCGAAAAGCTTCAGGTGATTGGAGTTTTGTTCAAGATCTTAGACCTGTTAACGATGCAGTTTATGTTGTGCAAACCCCATTACGATAATATCGGCCGTGCCGGCGTGGGCTAAATGGTTTTCAGCTGCAATTCTATCTGTACCACAGCCAGTTGCAAAACAACACGTTGACACTCACAGGAATGGCAGGCTATTGTAGAGCCTGGCTGCCAGACTATGCTTAAGTTGTACAGCCACTCTGATCTCATCCAATGCCACAGGATGGCGATGAATGACTAGGGGGGTCTGGAGGTGCTTGACAAATTGAAACAACTGCTAACCTCTTCTCCTTGTTTAGGTTTGCTGGATCACTCTAAACCATTTAATCTGTTTGTTTGCGAGAAAAAGGGTTTCATGTCATCTGTCCTCACTCAGGACCATGGTGGGAAGCAGTGGCCTGTTGTTTGCTATTCTAAAATACTTGATAGTGTGGTAAGAGGGTTGGTATGTTGTCTTCGAGCTGTAACAGCTGCTACAGAGGCAGTGTTAGCTTGTGCTGACATTGTTGCAATTTACCCATGAACCTTTCAAGTTCCTCATGCTGTTCATGCACTCAACTCACAGGCAAGGACCACCCATCTCACTCCAGCATGGCTGCTACATTATCAGAATGTACTGGTGACAATGTCTCATGTTACCCTGAAGCGCTGCATGGTTCTTCACCCTGCTACTCTTCTACCAACTGACGATGTTGGCCGACCCCACGATTGTGCTGTCCTGGTAGACCAGGTCTGTAAGCCCTGTCCTGATATATCTGATGTGCCTTTGATAAACGCTGAATTGGAACTGTTTGTTGATGGCGCCGTCCAGAAATCACCTCAAGACGAGCCTTTGGTGGCTTATACAGTAACTACGGCTGCCACTACCCTAGAGAGTGCTACACTACCACCACATCTGTCAGCTCAAGCTGCAGAACTGTGTGCTCTCACTAGGGCATGCATTTTGGCTAAGGATAAAACTGTTACGATTTACACTGATAGCAGGTATGCATTTGGGGTTGTGCATGACTTCGGTACACTCTGGAAGGAATGTGGGTTCCTCAGCTCATCTGGTAAGACAATTTCACATTCTAAATTGGTTGAAAACTTGTTGGAGGCTATTTTGTTGCCTATCTCCATTTCTGTTTGCAAATGTCAAGCTCACACTAATGCCTCTGACCCTGTTTCTAAAAGAAACGCTGTTGCTGATATGGCTGCTAAGGCAGCCGCAACGTCATCTGTCTCCCCCACAATCCAGATGGTTTCACTTCCTGTCTCTGCTTAAAAAAAAAAATCTCACATGGCCAAGACCATGTGTCAAAGGGGGTTGTAGAAACTGTACATCAGTTTTGGTTTGCTCCTGGACTTTCTGTTTTTGCGGAGCAATTTTGTTCTAAGTGTGTGATTTGTATGACTAACAATGCAGGCAGAGGATGGCTGAGACCAGATTGCCATGGGTAACAGTAATGCCTCTGATGTACATGCGTGGACGCGTGCATCGTACCACTGGTTTAGCACCTTATGAAATACTCACAGGAAGACCCATGAGAATGCTAAACACTCCATTCCCACAGAACAGGTTGACATTGATGGGCTGTGAGGCCCAAATGGTAAGTTACTTAACAATATTCTGAAGTCTATTTTCCCCAGGGTAAAAGCAGCTTTACCTGTACCAAAGGGAGGACCACTCCACAAACTTCAGTAAGGCGATTGGGTGGTCATCAAGGACCTCCGCAGAAAGACTTGGCAAAAAACAGCGCTGGACTGGCCCATTCCAGGTGCTCCTGATGACCCAGACAGCAGTGAAGGTTGCAGAGAGGTCTACGTGGGTTCATGCCAGCCACTGCAAGAAGGTTCCTCACAACCCAGATGATGATGCATCAGCCGATGTCTCGTCGTAGGTGACCCAAGTAGCCATGGGAAGACCAGGACCGGACTCTACGCATCATGTTTGTTGCTTTCATGGTCAGCCTACTCATTGCAGCTATTGTATGGGTCCTGGGAGGAGCAGAACAGCACAGAGCGAGAAGTGGCCACAATGCAACTGAAGCACACAACACCAGCATAGTCCCACGGCGGGACTTAAATAACATGCTTACTTGTAAATGTTCTTTAAATGTAGTCTCAAAAGGGAGGAATGTGGTGGGAAATTACAAATTAGACATGCTATGCTGTTTGTTACTTAGAATATTGTATGTTGTTATATGCTAGTGGATTTTCTACTGATACAAATGGTCTTTGTGTAACTTAGTCATGTGGCCAAGGGTCGTTTGGGGGTGACCACAGTAAGTGATACATCCTGTTCTTTTGGTATCTGCCAAGGACACAGCTGTGTGGAGATATGCAAGAGAACAGAAGCTAGCTTGAGCAGCAGCACCTAAATATCAGCAGAAAAGAGTAACATAACTGGCGGTTATCACTTGTCTGCACTCTATGCCTCCACCCATGTCTTCACACATCTGCTAACTGCCACGTAGACAAAGAGGTTGTACTTTTCTATAAAAGCTGAAACCCAACTCTGTTCATTGGGCTCTTAACTCTGCACCATTGAGTGATTGTTAACCCCTCCAGATTTGCAAATCTTATAATAAAGTTGTTGTTTGAAGAATCTACAGTCTCTCTTCCTTTTGGTTAGAATTTCCATGTCAATTCTGAATTTAAATAGATTACATTTAGATTTTTTGATGCTGGCCTACACACAATACCCCATAATGTCAAAGTGAACTAATGTTTTTAGCATTTATTTAAATAAAAAGCTGAAATGTCTTGAGTCAATAAGTATTCAACCCTTATGTTATGGCAAGCCTAAATAAGTTCAGTAGTACAAATGTCCTTAACAAGTTGCACAATGAGTTGCATTGACTCACTCTGTGTGCAATAATATTGTTTAACATGAATGACTACCTCATCTCTGTACCCCACATAAACAATAATCTGTAAGGTCCCTCAGATGAGCAGTGCATTTCAAACACAGATTCAACCACAAAGACCAGGGAGGTTTTTAAATGCCTCGCAAAGAAGGGCACCTATTGGTAGATGGTTAAAAATTAAAAGGCAGACATTGAATATTTCTTTGAGCAAGGATCAGTTATTAATTACACTTTGGCTGGTGTATCAATACACCCAGTCACTACAAAGATACAGGTGTCCTTCCTACGTTGCCGGAGAGGAAGGAAACTGCTCAGGGATTTCACCATGAGGCCAACGGTGACTTTAAAACAGTTAGAGTTTAATGGCTGTGATTGGAGAAAACTAAGGACGGATCAACAACATCGTAGTTACTCCACAATACTAACCTAAATGACAGAGTGAAAAGAAGGAAGCCGGAACAGAATACAATTTTACAAAAAATGCATCCTGTTTGCAATAAGACACTAAAATAATACTGCAAAAATGTGGCAAAGAAATTTACTTTATGTCCTGAATACAAAGCATTATGTTTGGGGTAAATCCAACACAACAGATCACTGAGTACCACTCTTCATATTTTCAAGCATGGTGATGGCTGCATCATGTTATGGGTATGATTGTAATAGTTAAGGACTAGGGAGTTTTTCAGGATAAAAAATAAATGGAATGGAGCTAAGCAGAGGCAAAATCTTGGAGGAAAACCTGGTCCAGTCTGCTTTCCACCAGACAATGGGAGATTAATTAACCTTTCAGCAGGACAATAACTGATTTCCTTATATGAACTGTAACTCAGTAAAATCTTTGAAATTGTTGCAAGTTGCATTTATATTTTTGTTCAGTGTACTTTCTGAAAGCACTTTATATATAAAACATTACTTCACTACAATCCATCGAAGAAACTTCAATTACATTTTTATTTCAGCTTGGTCTGGGTTTTCTGTTTAATCAGAACCGAATTGCACCACCTGAACCTCTTCAGTAAATACCACCCCCTCTCACATGTGACTCGTTTCAGGAAACTAGGTGTATGTCGCACGTCACTACTTCACAGGAGAGGCATTTTAATGTAAACATTATTTTTTAAAATCAAAATACATTTTGGGGGCAGAAATGCCTTTTGGAACATGTGAACTTTCATGTGCCTTAATAACAACCTTGTATGCCATCTGTAAATATGAATACATTTGTTAAATTACGAGCCTAGTTGGTTTAGTCACAGAAAAATAAAGGAACCTTCCTGCTAGCCATGATTGGCTGAGATAATGGATGACCTGGACATGCCGAGAGATGAGTTTGAATTGGTATGCCATGTAGCATGCTTCTGTCTAAAACATGAGCTGCTCATTATGTGTAGGTAATCCTTTCCCACACAGCTTATTTTTTATTATAATGAAGAACTGCAAAAGTGTTGCTCTCCAATTTCTGGAGGACTGAGTTTTGAAATCAGTGGAATGCCCAGTGGAGACAGAGTATGATAGCTAAGGAGATGGAGAAAATTCTGGCGTTTGATTGCAAATATGCAGAGGGAGTCTAAAAGAAAACACACAGAAGGCTGTTGTATAAAACACCTGTCTCCGGATTACATCTTCAAACTAAGGGCAACCATGGCATCTGTGACAGAGAGGGAGAAGTGTTCATACATGTATACGGGTAAGATAGTCTAGCTAGCTACATTTAAAGATAATGTACATTTAACATTTTGTCAGAAAGTCATTTTCATTGCAAGTTAAAGTGTACTGTTAGCTAGCTAGCTAAAGTTAGCTGGCTGGCTTGCTAGCTAACGTTATGTGTATAATCTGTGTTGTAATATTATTCATATCTCAGATCCATTTGCATTGCTAGATATAGCCTAATGTTAGCTAGCTAGCTAACATTGAACATAGTTGGTTAGCTACCTGCAGATTCATGCAGGGTAGTAATGTTATGAGTTGGGATTATGATTAATTGTTTAGCTAGCTAGACATCTAAACAAAAGACTCCATAATGCAAGTAATCATTTCACTGTACCATTTACATGTTCTGTATCCTGTGCATGGGACAAATCAACTTAGATTTCATTTGATACAGTGTATGTTTACCAGAGACGGTAATGTGAAGAACAACATGACCTCCACCAAAGTCACCAAAGATACAACGTTAGGCCAACGAGACAGTGTCCAAGTTCAACATTTCTCCAGTAGAATGCCCTGCTTTTATTTTGTCACACTCACAGCCGTAAGCTATTTTCTGTCATTAGCTCTCCATTACATTTACATTTACATTTAAGTCATTTAGCAGACGCTGTTATCCAGAGCAACTTACAAATTGGTGCATTCAACTTAGGATAGCCAGTGGGACAACCACTCCCTTTTCCCTCTTTTTTTAATGGGGGGGGGGTAGAAGGATTACTGTTATACTATTCCAGGTATTCCTTAAAGAGGTAGGGCTTCAGGTATCTCCGGAAGGTGGTCAGTGACTTAGCTGTCCTGGCGTTGTGGGGGAGCTTGTTCCACCATTGAGGTGCCAGAGCAGCAAATAACTTTGACTGGGCTGAGTGGGAACTGTGCTTCCATAGAGGTAGGGGGGCTAGCAGGCCAAAGGTGGATGAACGTAGTGCCCTCGTTTGGATGTAGGGTCTGATCAGAGCATGAAGGTTAGGAGGTGCCGTTCCCCTCACAGCTCCACAGGTAAGCACCATGGTTTTCTAGTAGATGCAAGCTTCAAGTGGAAGCCAGTTCAATGTGCGGAGGAGCAGGGTGACATGAGAGAACTTGGGAAGGTTGAACACCAGATGGGCTGCAGCATTCTGGATAAGTTGTAGGGGTTTAATGGCACAGGCAGGGAGCCCAGCCAACATCGAGTTGCAGTAATCCAGACGGGAGATAACAAGTGCCTGGATTAGGACCTGTGCCGCTTTCTGTGTAAGGTAGGGTCGTACTCTGCGAATGTTGTAGAGCATGAACCTGCAGGATCAGGTCACCGCTTTGATGTTAGCGGAGAACGACGGGGTGTTGTCCAGGGTCACGCCAAGGTTCTTGGCACTCTGGGAGGAGGACACAATGGAGTTGTCAACCGTGATGGCGAGATCATGGAGCAGGCAGTCCTTCCCCGGGAGGAAGAGCATCTCCGTCTTGCCGAGGTTCAGCTTGAGGTGGGGATCCGACATCCACACTGATATGTCTGCCAGACATGCAGAGATGCGATTCGCCACCTGGTTATCAGAAGGGGGAAAGGAGAAAATTAATTGTGTGTCGTCTGCGTAGCAATGATAGGAGAGACCATGTGAGGATATGACAGAGCCAAGTGACTTGGTGTATAGAGAGAATAGGAGAGGGCCTAGAACTGAGCCCTGGGGGACACCAGTGGTGAGAGCACGTGGTGCGGAGACAGATTCTCGCCACGCCACCTGGTAGGAGAGACCTGTCAGGTAGGACGCAATCCAAGAGTGAGCAGCGCCGGAGATGCCCAACTCGGAGAGGGTGGAGAGGAGGATCTGATGGTTCACAGTTTCAAAGGCAGCAGATAGGTCTAGAAGGATAATAGCAGAGGAGAGAGAGTTAGCTTTAGTAGTGCGGAGAGCCTCCGTGACACAGAGAAGAGCAGTCTCAGTTGAATGACCAGTCTTGAAATCTGACTGGTGTGGATCAAGAAGGTCATTCTGAGAGAGATAGCAGGAGAGTTAGCTAGAGATGGCACGCTCAAGAGTTTTGGAGAGAAAAGAAAGAAAGGATACTGGTCTGTAGTTGTTGACATCGGAGGGATCGAGTGTAGGTTTTTTGAGGAGGGGTGCAACTCTCGCTCTCTTGAAGACAGAAGGGACATAGCCAGCGGGTCAAGGATGAGTTGATGAGCGAGGTGAGGTAAGGGAGAAGGTCTCCGGAAATGGGCTGGAGAAGAGAGGACGGGGATAGGGTCAAGCGGGCAGGTTGTTGGGCGGCCGGCCATCACAAGTCGCAAGATTTCATCTGGAGAGAGAGGGGAGAAAGTCAAAGCATAGGGTAGGGCAGTGTGAGCAGGACCAGCGGTGTCATTGACTTAATAAATGAGGATCGGATGTCGTCAACCTTCTTTTCAAAATGTTTGATGAAGTCATCCACAGAGAGGGAGGAGGGAGGGGGAGGAGGTGGAGGATTCAGCAGGGAGGAGAAGGTGGCAAAGAGCATTAACTGGTAAATAATG